TGTCCCACAAGGGGACGTTCCAGGTGGGACTGAGGCAGGCGGGTTCCCTTCTTTCTCCACTCTCCTTTCTCACTTCAATTTCTCATTTATTTTTCTTTTTATCCTTGCCCTGTTCTTTCTTTTCCCTTTTCACGTCTGGTTTCCCAGTGTTTGGATTACCTCCCTGATATTTGAAGGGAAATTTTCTCACATGAGCCTTGGCAGCAGGCAAGGCCAAGGCTCCTCCAGGGAGGCTGAGGACCAGGTCCTTCCTAGAGCCACACCAGGACACCAGAGCCTGGACACAGTGGGTTATGCCAGTGAGGAGAGCCTCAGTTTGGGGAGAAGGGATCCCCTGCCACAGCAGCAGGATCAGTGGCCATGCTGCCCCAGCAGTGCATCATCTAGACTATCCCCGATGGAGAGACATGGTAAACCTACAAAAGCTGGAGAGTGTGATGGAGAGACCCTTTACGTAGTGGGTGTTTGTTGTTGCAAGACAAATTACTCCCCAGCACTGCAGCTTAGCAAGACAAACTGACTGTGCTATGGTTTCTGTGCTCCAGGAAGCTAGGCATGGCTTAATAGGTGTCTGGGTTCAGGGTCTCACTGTCAACAAACATGTCTCCCACATGGGCAGCAGAGGCCCAAGCACTCAGACCACCCCCTGTTGGCTTTCCAGGCACCTTGGTAGAGAGCTGGATCGGAAGTGGAGAAGCCAGGACTTGAATTGACATACGGGTAGTGCTGCAGATGGCATAGGGTTAACCCACAGCATTACACTACAAGCCCCACTTTGAGCATTTTCTTAAAAAAAAAAAATGTATTTATTTGAAAGATGGAGTTACAGAGAGAGAAGGAAGGATAGACAGAGAAATCCTTCACTTGCTGGTTCACTCCCCACATGGCCATAGCAGTCAGACCTAGCAGCTGGGCCAGGCCAAAAACAAGATCTAGGAGCTCCTCCCAGGCCTCTATGTGGGTGCAGAGGCCCAAGTAGTTGGGCATCCTCTGCTGCTTGCACAACTACACAACAGAGAGCTGCATCACAAGTGGAGCAGCCAGGATTTGAACCATACCCTTAGGAGATGCCAGCACCTCAGGTGGGAGACTGGGCCTGCCATGCCACAGCACCAGCTACTGGAGCAAATCCTAGTGCTCTCAACTAAGGACCAATAGAGTTTCTTTCACGGCAGAATACAGCTGTCACTGAGCCAGCCACAGAGCGTGCGCTACATCTCACATGATACCTGATCATTTTCCGCCAAAATTCACGCTTTCCTTTGCCTCTTAGCAGCTGCTTTCGACATCTGATGCAGGCTCCTCGTGCCCATGCAGGTCCCAGTGTTGTGCTGCAGTGTCTGACCCCAACTATTAGTGAGGAAAGGGGTGCTGCTGCACAACTGAGGCAGCAGGAGGAACACGGTGGGACGAGGGCAGGCACTCCCCTGGTCGGGGCTTCACACAGACGGACAGGCACCTTGCTGCTGCACACAGGCAGGCCCACTGGGGCAAACTCCTCAAGGATCAAAGACGCTGTTCAACACAGCTCTTAATACAACGGGAGCTGTTCAAAGGTAAGGAGCACCTGCACCAGGCAGAGCGAAAAGGAAATCAGAAATGCCAACAAAGCTTCCTTACCAGTGACAAAAGGAGGACTGTGACCCCCCACTGGTACTTCCCCTCTTGCCGTATTGTGCATACATGCAGAGTTTATATATATTGTCTTTTTTCTTTCATTTCTTATTTTTCATTACTGTAAAGTACATGAGCAGTAGTTTATAATTTGAAAATTTAGTCCGCCTATTACAACAATGAAATGGAATGACAATGACACTTAAGGGATGGAACATCACCTACAAATGTTAGACTAGAGGCCAAATATCATAAATACTGACACTCTGTGATACACTTACGTTGAGGGAGAGATAAGTGCATTTTTGTCATAGGAGAGAGGATGCCATTGGTTGGACCAAAGTATTTTTCTTTAAAATCCAACACATGGCTCTTTCAGACAAGAACAGGGAAGGGCAGGCATTTAGCCTAACAACGGAAGACCCTAGCTGAGACAGCCCTGCCCCAACACACAGTGCCTGGGTGATCCTGGCTGCAGCTCCTAGCTCTAGCGCTCTAGGAGCTGGACTGCCACCGGGCACGTGGCATACCCAGACAGAGCTCCCAGCTCAGCCACTGCAGGTTTTGAGGGGTGGAGAACAAACAGATGGAAGTTTCCTCTTCTCTGTGTGTGTGTGCTTCTCCACACCTTAATACAAGCGAAAGCCTGGGTACTACGGAGAGCAAGAGACATCACACAGGACACAGCGTAGGACGGTAAGTAGGAGTCTTTATTACCCCGGCTTGGCAATGACAGCTCCTGCTACACTCCAGGAACCATCATGCTGCACAGCTAAAGTTAGAGGTTTTTAAGCTCCCATTGGCATACAACTGCCATGGATTTTTTCTCAAATAATCCAATCAGCAGGTCACATTCTGGTTGGCATGCAATACAAGTCATTCAATCAACCCAGGTTCAAACCACACTTGAAGCCAATCAGCTTGCAAGCTTGTTTACAGAAGCAGATACCTGCGGTCAGTCAAGGAACCAAAATGGAGTCATACCTGCCCACTTCCGTGAGGGGCTATCACCTGGCTGCATCCTGTCACATAGGCTGCAGCACAAATTGAGAGGGGCACCCTAAGGAACGGATTAGAGTGGAGTTACTGTTGGCTGCCTAACATCGGACTACTAATTTCAGGAAATCCTTACATTGAGTCCTAGTAAGAAACTGAGCTCCTCCCCACATGAGAAGCCAATGGGTGGAGTAGGAGCCATTACAGAGCAACCAGAACTCTCCCTGGCAGTTAGAACACACAGGCATAACTTAAACAAGGTCATGGAAACAGTGCAGGCCAGAAGTTAAACCCTGAGCGAACAACCAATACCACAGAGGAGTTGAAAGGCAATTCACAGCACCAAAGTTGCAGACACACCCCCTAATCAGAGAGCTGCCACGTGGTGGAGCTGCCACGCCTCAGGCGGGGACCCTGCGGCCCCACAGCCCTGAGATTCCAACAGCCATACCTGGTCCCCAGCTGTTCTGGCACAAGGAATAAGCAGCACCACACTTCCCCTGCCCAAGCCCAGAGACAGCAAGGCAAAGAAAGACCCTCTCTTCCAGCCTCGTGCTCTCGAATCCCCAACAAGGATGCAGGGCATCTCAGGAAGAGTGACATCCATTCCAGGGGAAATCCGAGCACGAGGAGGCAGCCCAGCCCGGCCTGGCCTCATGCCTCCCCTTCTTTCATCCATCGTGACCCAGAAGGTCAGGGGACTCTGGTCCTCCACAGTCATCTGATCTAGGGCTTTGAGGACACCCCTTCCAAAGAACGGCTACTTGCTCCCAAGACTACAGCAGGTCAGACCTGAAAGGAACCTTGGGCCCCATCTGTCCCATCTGCTCGCTCACACAGAGAAAACCACACGGGGTCAAAAAGGATAAAAGCCACCGGCAAGGTGCAGAGAGTCGGAACCTCATGAAGGTGTGGGGATGCAACATGCGGGCGAGCGTAAAGCGCTTGCTTACCTTGGGCTGACCCGAGTTCCTTCCTCTCTGTTCAGGTTGCTCTTCCCCAGTTCCACCAACCCGCAGCTTCCCTGGCTTGTTCATCTGGCCTCTCTTCTGCTGTCCAGTTCCTGCCGCCCGGATCTGGTACCCTGGTGCTCCGCCTGGCCTGGCCGCCTGTCTGGGCTCGGTCCAGCTCTCTCCGTGGAGCAGGGCATCTTGGCTAGCAAAGTCATCCCAGCTCTGGACTTCTTTGAAGGTCTGTGTGTCACAGAGAAGACCAAAGATCAACACAAACGTTCCCAAGCGCTAGGCATGTAATAAATGTAAAATGCTTCATATCCAAGTGGTGCTGGTGGCATTTCAATCCTTATTCACCACCACCAAAAGTGAACACTGCCCAAACAGAACCACCTGTGGCCTAGTCGCTGCTCTTGGAGGTAGAATTTCTGACTCCTAGGTTAGACCAGATTCCTGAGCTGGCATGGCAGGCCTGAGGAAACCCACGTGTTTATTTTCTCCACAGCCTAGGCCCCAGGAGCTCCGAGGCACAGCTGGAGTTCAGACACACACTGAACCATTTGTTATAGGGTTAGGGACCGGGAAGCGAGCCTCCTGAGGTCAAAACAGTCAGAGGGCAGGACTTGACACGGGTTACAAGGTAACCCCTTCCCACGCCAGGCGCCCGGTGCCTCCACTAGGACTTACGAATGCCACCGAGTGGCCTCTCCACCTCACAGCCGGCCGGCCGGGGAGCAGAGGTGTGGTCCGGCCTCCCCTCGGCTGCTCCTCACACTCCCTCACCCACCAAGGCCGGACTGCTCCGGGTTCGACACGTCCTTCCCATCCTTTCCGAGCCTGCCTGAGTTTTCCGTCCTCCCTCAAACTGTCCCCAGGGGCCAGGTTTCGGGGAGCTCCGCCTCGGGGCTGGCACGCCTCCCCGTAGCACCTGTTCAGCCTCGGTCACGCCGCCCGCTTGTTTGGACGCGAGCATAAACACATGCCCAGGGGCTGTGGCGCCGCCCCCTCAGCAGCAATGCGCCGCCGCCCACTCGTCCCGGCGCCCTGACCAACGTGTATGAATGGTGCAGGCGTGACCCGGCTCGCAGTGAGAAGACACGCGCCCCCGAGTTCGTGCCCCTCGGCGCCTCGCCACCACCTTCCAGAACCCGAGCGACGCGACCCCACACGACCGCGTCTGCGGCGAGCAGCGGGGACCCAGCGAGAGAGGACGAGCCTAAGAGGATCTGGCCGCTCATAGGCCAGGCAGACGCAAGGGGTGGGCTCTTCGGGTAGGGCTGGCTGCCTATTGGTGAGGATGACAGAACTGAGGCCTGGGATTGGCTGCGCAGGTGGCGGAGGGCGGCCTCGTGCGGGGGACCCGGGGGAAGGTCCACAGGGCGGGACTGGTGCTCGGCCCCGCCCCACAGCGTTCCGCGCTCGGACGCGGGGACCCCGGGCTCTGGGCTGGCGCATGGGGCTGTCGGGGCCGCTCGGAACGTACGGAGCGTCGAGGCGTGGTAGGTAGGCCGAGGCCGGGGTGTGCCCGCGGCACTGGGAGCGGCGGCCTGGGGAGCCTCAGCGGTGGCGAAGCCAGGCCAGGCCCCCTTCGTGCCAGGATCTCTTCGGGTCTCTCCGCGAGGCCGCCGCCCTCGCGTCCTCGCCTGGTAGGGCACAAAGGCTTCCTGGGCGCGGGGATAGCGGACTCTTCGTGCCTTCGCCTCCATTTTGCAGGTGGAACGACGTGCGCGGTCGCCGTAGAGCCGTGAGGGTCGAGACGGGAGGCCGGGCTTGGGGATGCCGTGGCGCGGCCAGGGCCTGGCCGCTGGGGCGCGAGTGACCGGCGTCTCGCCTGGACTGCGAGGAGAGGGAAATCTCTGCCCCACACAGCCTCGCCTGGGCCGCGGTGCTCTTTACATTGCGGACGCCACTCCCAGTCAGTCACCCCTGAAACGATGGAATGGTGCCGTGTGAGCGCCGCGATCGCGGCAGCCCCTGGGTCCCGAGAGGGGAAGGAGCAGGGTGCGTGGCGTTTTACGTAGAGGACTGTCCTTGCCAGCTGTCGGCGCTAGCCCGGGGCTCCTATCCTGGAGCAAAGCCTATGGCGGGCCCTGTCGAGTGATTAGGTCACGTTTCGGGTATTGTTTGTAATAAAGAACGGAAACCTGCCGGTGCCCTGGGCATCCGTTGGACCCCATGGGATCCGTGGGGGAGGTGGGAAGGGCAATCAGGGAGGACGCCGTGGTGCACGGCCAAACGTTGTCAGAGCTGTGGCCTGAAGGGATGCAATGAAAGGATGCTGGGTCGCCCGCCTGGGCTTGGATGTAGAAGAGACACCACATCTCACCTTGTTCCTTCACTTCCCTGCCATGGGCCCTGTCTACATCAAGGAGCAGATTCGGCACCTGCACCTGCACCCCGCAGCTAAGAACCCCGCTGCTCTAGACTCCTCTCCTTGGTCTCTTTCTCCACACTGCACTGCGTTGTGGTCCACCCAACCCCACCACAATGCTTGCAGCATGGAAGGCATTCAGGGATGGAAAAAAGTTAAAAGAAAACAAAGTCAGCAGGGTAACCAAAAGTTGATGAAACATAAACTCTTATTTCTTTAACCTGTTGGGCCAGTTATTCTTACAGGCAGGCAGCTGACCCCAGGCTATGTTAAGGCTGATCAGATCTGCCTGGTTACGTACTCTGGGTGAGATACTTCTCCACCTCAGTTTCCCCAGCTGTAAAACTGGGAATAATAAGAATACCTACTCTCTGGGTCATGAAGGTTGAAATGCTGATAGAAAGTACCTGGCATGGCTTCTGGCACCAAGAAAATGGGACCCTGTACCCGCATGGGAGACCAGGAAGAGGCTCCTGGCTCCGGGCTTTGGATGGGCTCAGCTTCAGCCGTTGCAGCCTCTTGAAGGGTAATCCAGCAAATGGAAGATGCTACTCTCTCTCTCTGTCTCTCTTGGATCTGATTTTCCAGTAAAAATAAGTAAATCATTTTTTTAAATGAGGCACAGAAAATGTTGAGTAGCTCTTAGCAGTTGTGAAGGTCAGTGTATACGCAAACAGACCCAGCTCTACTGAGTGTGCGTGACCCTTCACCCTTCAGGCCACCCCACCTTTGGGCATTATCTGATCCTTTATGTTAACATCCTTGGAGTCCTTCCTGACTCCGCAACATACACCATATAGGCAGCTGTCTACTTATGTAGCTCAAATCTAGTCAGCCTCTGGAGCTGTAATAGGTGCCAGATCAGGATTTGTCCCAGCGTTAGAGTAGTGTCTGACTGGTGTGGGTGGTTACTGGAGAAGGGAGTGAGATAAACGGGGCATGCTGTGGCCGAGGACCTATCTTGAGGCTGTGCCACTGAGCGCTGAGTGTGTGGAGGTGGACCTTGGATAGCTGGTTGATAATGAAGAAGCCACCTCAAGTTGTTGGCACTGCGAGAAGTGGACGAGACCATCCACTTGGTCCAGAGGTGTTAGATGGAGTCCCCAAGGAGCATTGCTTCACTTCCAGATTTTCCTGTGCCAGGTTTTCCTTTCTAGTGGCAGGAAACAGGCTGCACTGGGAACATTTCCTTCCATCTTAAAGCCTCTGTGACATGCCGATTTCCCTTAAATTATTTGGAATCTCCAAAAAAATACCTCTTGGAGTTGTCACAGGGGGAAATTCATGTTTGGGGTTGTGATTGTGTTTTTAGTGGGGCTGAGGTGAGTCTTGGGTCCTTTCTGGGGAGATCCTTGCTTCCGGTAGCTCTTCCAGCTATGGCCTCCAGTAACTGGCTGTTAAGAACCTCCCCGCAGTGTGAGCTTTCTCCCCGTCCTGTTGCAAGGCCTGGAGGACAGGCCAGTGTGTTTCCTTCTCTGTGCTAGTGCTCTGGGAGTGGAGGTAAAGCCGTTCAGGCTGTTCTTTGGGGGCTGCTCTAAGAGTCCTGCTGACTTGGAGCTTGTTTTTGAAGATAGATTCACTCATTGATTTGAAAGGCAGTGGCAGATTTTCTATCTGCTCCTAACAGCTATGGGCCAGACCGAAGCCAGAAGCCCATAACCTCCTCAGGGTCTCCCATGTGGATGGCAGGAGCCCAGGGCCCCAGGTGGTGTTGGTCTCCTAGGCACACTAGCAGGGAGCTGTAGCAGCAGCTCCAGGTAGCCAGGAATGTGGAGAGGGGCCTTGACCTGGTGTTTTAAACCTGAGTGTGCTTACCAGATCATCTGGACGGAGAGCTGAAAGGCAGATTCAGATTCCAAGGCCGGGGAGGAAGGTGCTGTGGACACGCTGCTGCTGGACCATACTTTGGGTGGTAAAATACCAACTGGAGCATCTGCTCTTGCTTTTTGGGAGTTATGGGAAATCTCATTTTCTCATGGTAGTAAAGTTTTTGAATTATGAATTGTTTTCCTTGCCATTTTTTTAAAATGAGGGTGTGAAACTCCATCATGGATTCTTAAGGGCAGAGACAGGTTTTTGCTGTTTTTAAGATTTATTTTATTTCTTTTATTGGAAAGGTAGATTTACAGAGAGAAAGAAAGGTCTTCTGTCTACTGGTTCACTCCCCAAGTGGTCTCAATAGCTGGAGCTGAGCTGATCCGAAGCCAGGAGCTGCTTATGGGTCTCCCACGTGGGTGCAGAGTCCCAAGGCTTTGTTGGACCATCCTGTACTGCTTTTCCAGCCACAAGCAGGGAGCTGTATGGGAAATAGAGCATCTGGGACACAAACTGGCACCCATATGGGAGTCAGGCACTTGTAAGGGGAGGGTTAGCCAAATGAACTAGTGCACTAGCCCCTTTTTCCTTTATTTTATTAACAATTTCTTGTTCTTATTCCCAAAAGTGATCTGAAGATTGTTTCCATAACACTTCTGGTTTAACAAGATTGTTAATAAAGTGTGAGCTGGCATTGTGGTGCAATGGGTTAAACCACGGTCTGTGATGCTAGCATCCCATATGGGTACCAGTTGGAGTTTCTGTGTTTCTACTTGCAGGCTAACTCCCTGTTTAATGTGCCTTGGAGAGCCACAGAAGACTGCTCAAACGTTAGGCTCACCCAAGCGGGATATAGTTCCTAGATCATGTCCAAACTGCTGCACTTTTGATCCAGTTCCTTGGTAACATGCCTCGGAAAGCAGAAGAGGGTGCAAGAACTTGGGCCACTAACACCCGCATGGGAGAATGGGATGGAGTTCATGGCTCCTGGTCCTGCCTGGCCATTGTGGCTATTTGGAGAGTGAAGCACAGATAAGCACATAGGTCGGTAGGTAATTAGGTAGGTAGGTGGATATAAAGACAGATCTCTCTGTAACTTTACCTTTCAAATAAATAAATAAATGTTTAAGAAGGCCTTCACTTTTTGTGCTTTCACTTGACTTCCTCTTACTTCTCTTTTACCCTATTTGCCTCAACTTCTTTTTTCTGAAAATCTGTACTTATTCATTTATAGGATAGGGTTACACAGAGAGAGAAACAGCTCTGTTGGATAGATCACTCCCCAAAAGTTTCCAATGGCTGAGACTGGGCCAGGAGCCATGAACTCCATCCCATTCTCCCATGTGGGTGTTAGGGGCCCAAGTTCTTATGCCATCTCCTGCTACTTTCCCAGGCATGTTTGCAAGAAGCCGGATCAGAAGTGGAGCAGTTGGGATGTAAACCAGCATTCCTGTGTGGGGTACCAGCAGGCAGCAGCTTAATCTACCGTGCCACAATGCCAGCCCCAGACGCATGCCTTTCTGTCTTGGTCATTTTATTCAACGAGATTGCATTTTTGGCCTTGAACTTTCCACCAGGCAAAACAGAGGGCATTTCCTTCAGTTTTGCCAGAAAGTGCAAACCAACTGCTCAGTTGGGATGTTTGGTTTTGTGATGGAGACCTGAGAATTTTGTGAGTTTCCCAGAGAGGATGTTGTGAAATGGAAGTGCAATTCTTACTAGTATCTCTTGAGGAAATTGCGTTTCTTAAAGTCTTCATATGTATAGCCTGATGCTTCACAGAAAACTGTCAGTACAGTAAAGACAGTGGTGGGACTAGAACCGTATGGTCTCAGTATTCATTCTCTAATAGAGTGACTTTTTTAAATTATTTATTTATTTATTTATTTATTATTGGAAAGTCATGTTTACAGAGAGAAAGCTCTTCCATCTGCTGGCTCACTCCCCAAAACGACTAGAGCTGAGCCAATTCAAAGCCAGAAACCAGGAGCTATTCCAGGTCTCCCACACGGGTGTGCAGGGTCCCAAGGCCTTGGGCTGTCCTCCACTGCTTTTCCAGCCACGGGCAGGGAGTTGAAAGGGAAGTGGAGCACCGGGGTATGAACCAGTGTCCATATGGGATTCCAGCATCTGCAAGGTGACAGCTTTAGCCACTAGGCTACCATGGCACCAGGCCCTAACACAGTGACTTTAAAAAAATTATTTGGGGCCCGGTGCGGTGGCTCAGCAGCTAAAGTCCTCGCCTTGCACGCCCGGGATCCCATATGGGCGCCGGTTCTATCCCAGCAGCCCCGCTTCCCTTCCAGCTCCCTGCCTGTGGCCTGGGAAAGCAGTCGAGGACGGCCCAAAGCTTTGGGACCCTGCACCCGTGTGGGAGACCCGGAAAAGTATCGGCTGTTGCGCTCACTTGGGGAGTGAATCATCGCACGGAAGATCTTCCTCTCTGTCTCTCCTCTCTGAATACCCGCCTTTCCAATAAAAAAAAAATAAGAATAATAAAAATAAATCTTTTTTTTAAATAAAATTTATTTTGACATTCTTTACATAGTTAGTTAAAGTAAGAAGGTTCAAGGGCTACAGGAAAGTGGATAATACTAGTATGTTTTCCATATTGTTACCTTCATGTTTAAAGGGGGGTATTAAGGGAGAAGGCCCACCCAATTTCCCACCCTCCCCAGGTCCCGGATGTAGGGCATGCTCTGAGGTTCTTGCTCAAGTGGTTTTGATACTGCCATAGTTATGAATCGCTGTCAATCTTGCCACTCCAAGCACTATGAGGTCTTTGAAAAATCCACTGATTGACATAGTCCATCATAGCTGAAATGGTTGGTTGACCCGTTCTGTCTTCTCTCTTTTCTTCGTTAGGGTTCTGACTCCAGCATTTAGATTAGGAAGATCTCCAAAGAAACTTCTTGTATGTGCTAACAAGTACAGGGCCTGGCACTGTCCATCGCTCCAAAAAATAATAATGATAAAAATAAATCTTTAAAAAAAATTATTTGAAGGTGAAGGGAGGGAGAGTAAAAGAAATCTCCCATTTACTGGTTCACTCTCCAAGTGCCTGCAACAGCCAAGGCTGGGCCAGGCCAAAAGAGGAGCCAGGAACTGGATCCAGGTCAGGTTTCCTGTGTGACTAGCAGGGTCCCAGGTACTTTAGCCCTCACTTGCTGCCTCCCAGGGTGAGCATTACTAGAAAGATGGAATCAAACACAGTGGGGCCTCAACTCCACGCACTCTGATATGGGATGCAGTATCCCAAATGATGCCTTCACTGCCAGATCGTACGCCTGCTGCAGGCGAGCAGCGGTACTGCCAGTCTACTTTGTCCTCTGTGCAGTTAATTGTCATGTTCTGTCTTCTGCGTCCTGTAACCTTTGTGGGTTGGGGACATTCTGCCAACTACTGGGGAGGTCAGAGAGCCTGGGGTTGAGGAAAGGCGTGTCTGGGAGCCCAGCCAGGTTTCTTACAGATGTGGTCCTCACCTTTCGTTAAAGGCCATCGAAAGACCACTCATTGAGTGAGAACACTGCACTCTGAGGCTGCGGGGGGCGAGGAAAAGGTACAGACACAGGCAGCCTGGCCCACAGGCCTATACAACGTTGATCTGGGTGGGGGACGCCTGTTCTGCTGGCTCTGCACAGAGTGCAAAATCAGCCCTAGGAAGGGAGCAAAAGAGCTGCTGGTGCCCAGGGGTCTTGGGAGTGCCTGGTCCCGTGGTCATGCCAGGAGAGCCACGTACCGTACCCCTCAGTGGCTTCAAGTCTGCTCTTCACTGGCCCTTTACTTTGATTCTGCATGCAGAGTAGGGGAACAGAGTGCCCAGAATGACTTACACCATGGGGAAAACCAGGCCTGTCTGGGACTTAAGGACATGTGAGTGCCTTGTGCAGCCCTTGAGGAACAGGTGCAGCCCCAGTGTCTGTCTGTCTGGCCAAGTCCTGCCACACAGGGTGTGTTTGTGAGTTTCAAGGTTTTGGCACCTGAACTGGTAGGGCTTGCCCTGGTGGCCTGTGCGAGTGGCTGGCTGTGTGCTTGGGCACAGGAACAGGCCCCTGGCAGCACGAAACTTCAGAGCAGCATTGTTCTCAAAGAAACTGTTTCTGAGGGAGCTAGTGATTCAGAGAATCTGGGGCATGTCCTCTTGTCAGGGAATCTCTCCTCTGCTTGCATGGAGTAGTTAAGAACATCCCTCTGCACTCCAGCTCCCACTCCCCTTTCTCTGTCCTCAACAGGAGCAATTGGGAAGAACACCAGGCAGCTGTGACAGGCCCACCCAAGGGTGACGCAGCAGATCCCCAGAAAGGTCAGATGTCCAGGCCTGCCACATTCATGAGTGTTAGATTTGCCCTGTAGCGCCAGAGAAAGCCAAGCCCACATCACTCCTAATTTTATCTAGTAGATCATACAGCCTTGAAAGTGGATGGTGATTTTAATAGCCAGGACCAGGTTTCCCCAATAATATCCTGGGTTCTGAGGTCACATGGCCTGGGCTTGACTCTCAGAGCCTGAAAAGAGACCACGCACACTCACGTGCTGGGACATGGACTGATACCACCCAAGGAAGGGCACTTGGCCATGCTTGTCAAACACATTCGAGTTGCTTCCCTTCTGCTCAGCACTTCCACTTGGGCTGGCCATACTGTAGGTGTGCCAGCATACATGAACTGGTGGATGCATGTAGGACTTGGTTACCTATCCCAGGTCTGTTTGTCATGGCATTGTAAAGAACCCAGATATCCATTAGTACAGGACTGGTGAATTCCTTTACAGTGGGATCCACATCAGGCCAAGATGAAAAAGAAGGGAAGGTTTAAAGAAAATACAAACAAGGGTCTGAGCCATGTGTCCTATGTCCCCGTTATTAAAAGGGGGTGAAGGGGGCTAAAGTAGATACTTGTGATTGCATCTATATCAGGAGATAAGAATCACACACAAAAACTGGTAAGACTGTACACCTGTTTGGTAAGTCTCCTATAGTGAATTCCTTGCTTGGTTTGCAGAAAAACGTGGTTGCTTTCCCTCTGTTTGGCTCCTGTGTTTCTTCCTCAGAAGATGACCAGTCACTTGGAGATGTCAGTGTCTCACAGGACACTGGTGACAGGGCTGCCTGACCCTGAGCATAGTCAATGTGCAAGGCCTTGTCCTGGCTGTTCTGCCTCAACTGGCTTGTTCCAGTGGAGGGACAGGACAAGGCTGGATGCAGGCATCTGTTAGCAGTGCATTCTGTGTCTGAACTGCATTACAAGGGTACTTGAAAGAATTCATGGGAAGTACATAAAAAGCACATTTATTTTGCTTCAAAAAATTTTGAAATCAGTGTATATAAAGGGTCTTTGAGTTTATGGAAAATGCATGCCATGTAAAAACTATATATTGGGAGCTGGTATTGTGTCCTAGTGGGTAAAACTTCTGCCTTTGGCTACTCCACTTCTTTTTTTAAGATAAATATTTTTTTAATTGGAAAGGCAGATATAACAGAGAGAAGGAGAGGAGAGGAGAGGAAGATCTTTGTCCACTGATTCACTCCCCAAGTAGCCACAATGACCAGAGCTGAGCTGATCTAGGAGCTTCTTCTGGATCTCCCATACAGGTACCAGGGTCCCAAGGCCCTGGACCATCCTCTACTGCTTCCCCAAGCTTCAAGCAGAAGCCAGATAGGAAGTAGAGCAGCCAGGATATGAACTAGCACCCATATGGGATCCTGGTACATACAAGGAAAGGATTTAGCCACTAGGCTGTTGCACTCTGCCCATGGCTGCTCTACTTTCAATCCAGCTCCTTGCTAATGGCCTGGGAAAGCAGCAGAAGTTAACCCAATTTCTTGGGCCTCTACTACCCATATGGGCGACCCAAATGAATTTTCTGTCTTTAGCCTGGCCCAGCCCTGGATGAGGTAGCCATTTAGGAAGTGAACCAGCAGGCACATTCTGTCTCTTGCTCTATGTAACTGACTTTCAAACAAATAAACCTCTAAAAAGCAAAAAACTGTCCATGGATTTTGTGTCTGTGTGCACTGCCATACTTACCTTTAATTCTGTCTTCCATGCATTCATCGCTGTAGTGCCAGCAGGGCAGTTGTTTGGAGCTAGTTCTTTGCTCTTCATGTGCTGACTTCAGACCTCGAGGTGTGTGCAGTGCCCATCTAGGTTGTGTTTTCTAGGCTGGCATGAAAGTTGTCAAATGGGATGACCTACAGCAACCTCCGCCTGCTGCCTTATTGCCACCAGCACCTCCTGTGCCTGAGGAAATGGGCTGTTTCTGTGGAGATTTGAGCTTTGAAAACTGCAGGTGGCCACCCACACCCAGCTTCCTCTCCCTGTTTGCAGCTCCTCCAGGAGCCTGTGTTCTTTCTCCCCAGCCTACCCAGCCGGCTGCCTCTGCAGCCGGCAGGCAGAGTAGGTTTAGCCAAAGGGGCTCTCCCCCGCTATCCCCGCAGATTATCCTGTCTGCAGAACAGGCACTCGGTTCTTTTTTTCCCCTGAGCACTTGGCCCAGTACACCCAGCAGAGAGCCACAGCACCCACCTGCTTTCCACATTGCCTCCCACAGCACATTCTGCATTAGCCAAGCCATCCCAGCAGAGTTAACTCATCTCCCTCTTTTGGTTACCAGCCACCTAGGGTAGGAGTAGGGATAGGATTGCTGCGTGAGAGAGGCCTCCTCTGTGACCAGAGCCATGGGGATCTCCTCCCTGCCCAGCTGAGCCCAGCATGTCCTGACTTGCTGTCCTCTAGGTGGAACCTGTCTTATAGCTCAGTTGAGACAACAGACCCACTGCAGAGCTGCACAAGGGGAGAGCTGATCAGGCCTCTGATCTAAAGGGGGTGCTAGGAGGACAAGGTGAGAAGGTGCCCTTGGCAGCCCTGGGCCTCGACTCTAATTTGGATTTGTACTGGGCCTCCTGGGTGCTTGCTGCCTGGGGTGGCACTAACTACCTTAACAGCAGAAGACAGAATAACATGCCTATGTCCTCTTTAGAAGGGTCTGGGACCAAGGAAAAGCTGGTCTGTTGTGCTCCTGTAAGGAAGTAGCTTTCATTTTACTTAGACCAAAAAAGAAAAAAAAAAAAAAAAGATTTGCCTTACTTGGTAAAAAACAAGATTTCCTGCACACAAATTTCCAGAAGTTTACATTTTCTTTCCTTCCTGTGTTTTGTAGAGTGCTGAAGACTCAGGGAACACATCCTTTGGGACAGCTCAATGGCCCTGGGTGAAGAAAAGGCTGAGGTGGAAGCATCCGTGCAAGAAGGGGCCCAGCCCTACCAGAGATGGAGTCACGGGCTGGACCCTCCAGGGCCCGTGCCTGGTGAACAGCCGCGCCTGGAAGCCGAAGGAGGGCCTGCCTCTCCTGTGTGGGGTGCAGAGGGGCTTGCTGACTCCCCCTGCAGTCCGGCTGGAGTTCACCTGCCTCTGGCCAAGGACACCGGAAGAGAACCAGCCCCTCTCAGTGGCCAACTTCCTCCTGGACACCTTCCACACTCCGTGGGAAACCAGGTACATACAGAGCAGGTGGAATTGTAGCTAGGCCCAGTGCCCTTTTGGGGTATGTTCTACCTCCCTTTACCTCTCAACCCCTTTCCCAGCCCCCATGCCGGCTGTGGGTAAAGGAGCCAGGACTTGGACCTCAAGGCCTGAAGGGGCTGCGTCCATCGCATGTCCTCTTCTCAAGAGGGTGACATTTTTAGGATGGCATGACTGGGAGCTGGTTGTCCTGACAAGGAGCACGAGGATAAGGAGGCTTGGGAGAGGAGGCATGTGGGCTTGAACACTCTGCTGCTCAGTTACCCTGGGACCCAGGGACCCATGTCAACCTGAGGTCCCCAGGATGGGCAGCTCTGCCGTTGGTGAGGGAGAGGTGACTACAGGGCGACCCTCCTCGGGGAAGTCATGTGGAGTGGCACTGCCTGTGACCACAGCACCCAGCAGACCAAACCTTTCAGGTGTGGGGAGGTGACCTGAATGATCTGTCCCTGCTGGTCCTGGTGTCTATTACACTGCTGCCCAGACTGCTCCAGGGAATGGCTTTGATGTTCTCCCTGTTTCTGTGTCATTGGGATCTTGGCTGCCACACACCACCCACCTCCCCACTGCAGAGCCCCTGTGGGAGGCTGTGAGCGTGACTGCGCAAGCCAGGAGCAGGAATGGTGGGAGGCGCTGGCACCTGTGAGTCAGACATGTGGTGAAGCAGGAAGCAAGTGTGAGTCTGTGCTGTTGACTGTGGTGCCCGTTGTTATGCCCTGAGGGCGGGTACTGTTGCCTGCTCCCTTTTATAGCAGGGGGAGTGAGGCTTGTAAGTGACACTTGTAGGAGGTGGCAGAGTTAGGGTTTACATCAGGTCTTCTTCCAAAGGCCATATCTGTAACCACTGTGCCTCCCTCCTCATCAGGTCAGTTCTTCCTTGCAGGGACAACAGGATGGTGCAATAAAGAGACCCACATCCTGCATCCTATGCTGCAGTGCCCGGTTGGAGTCCCAGCTGCTTAGTTTCCTGCTGACGTAATTCTCGGGGAAGCAGCTGCTACTGTCTCAAGTACTTGGGTTCCTATCACCCAAACAGGCTTCTGGCCTTGGCCTAACCTAGCCTGGTTGTTAGACTATTTGGAGAATGAACCAGTTGCCATTCAAGTAAAAGACAGACAAATGCATCTTAAAAAGTAATGTAGGATATTTAAAAAGCTTTGAGGTTGTTGAGGCTGGGTTGAAGGAGTCCTTTGCCAGCATTTGCTCTGACATCATAGTTGACCAGGGTACAGTCCTAGGCCCCCAAGGTTTATCTGTCTCATGTCAGCCACAGCGGGGCTTCCTCTGCCTGGGACACCCTTTTCACTGGACTCCAGCTGCAACAGGATAGAGCTGCCAGTGGAAGAAGGAGCTTGTAGGGCTCCAGGGGTCAGTCTGGGGAAGCCGGTTCTGCTGCTCCAAGTAGGCTGGCTCCCAGCAGCACAAACTGACTTTGGCCTCAGGCAGCAAATGTCTCACTTTTAGATCTTTCCCAAGGACGGCCTCAGCCCACTGGAGAACTCCCAGCTTTGTCATCTGAGAATGACAAAGAAGTTGAGTTCATGGCCACTGGCCTGAATGCCTTTCCTCCCCTCTTTCCATTGCAGGTGGAGGAAGCTGTGCTTTCTGCCTGCAAGGAGCTACCTCAGCCACTGCCTCCTCCCAGAACTGCAGCTGTTTGCTCAGGACATGATGCGGACACCGAAGATGACCCCTCTCCAGTGCGTTCGCCCCAGGGGCTGGGCCTCAGTCAGCAGCCTCACGTCTCAGGTTTCCCTCTTGCAGGGGCTACAACTGCACAGCTAACCAGCTGCGGCCTCTCTGCCTCCTCCACAGGCAGCAGTCTCCAAGGTCACCAAAAGATAGCAGAGCCTCAGACCTGCTCCCTTGCCAAGGTCTCCTCCCTGGAGCTGATGGTCCCACAGACAGGCCCCTCTCGGCAGAGGCCAGAGCCTGGGTGCCAATGGTCACCACAGGCCAGGAACTGTGGGGTTGATGCTGCTGGCCTGGGCAGGAGGCGCCTCTCCTTCCAGGCAGAGTACTGGGCCTGCGTGCTGCCAAATTCCCTGCCTCCTTCCCCTGACCGCCACTCCCCACTCTGGAACCCAAATAAAGAGTATGAAGAGCTGCTGGACTACACTTACCCACTGAGGCCTGGGCCTCAGCCTCCCCAGGTCCGGTACAGCAGTGTGCCAGCTGACCCCATCCTGCAGGACTCGGGTGTAGACCTGGATAGCTTTTCTGTGTCCCCAGCAAGTACCCTCAAATCGCCCACTAATGCCTCCCCCAATTGCCCACCCCTAGAGGCCACGGCTGTGCCATTTTCCATGACAACAGAGTCCCACCTAAAGCAGTGGCCCTCTGAAGTACCCCAGAAGCAGGGCAGCACAGACCTGGCACCTTGGAGCCGGCTGGCATCTACACCCAGGGCCCCAGGTACCAGGGATGCCTCTTGGGAGAGCAGAGAATCAACTCCAGGGGACAAGCATCTCAAGGTGGGCTCTCCACAGCAGAGGACTTGGGACAGAGGGTGGCCTTCATCCAGGCCAGAGAGGGATAAAAGGGCCAGCCAGAGTGCCCACTGCCCTGTCGGCATAGTCTCTGGCTGGCGTTCAGAAGAGGAAGTGGACAGTGACGACGAGTACCTGGCCCTGCCCACTCGGCTCACACAGGTTTCTAGTTTGCTTTCATATCTGAGTTCTATTCCCACCTGGATGCCCCCTCCTGGTGGGGCTGCTGAAGGACAGAGCTCCCTTGAAGTGTCAGACAGCGATGGGCCAGCTTCTCTGCCATCCAGCTGCAGCCGGGGCCAGCTCCCCTCTGAGGCCACCCTGCACACCTCTGGGGACCTAGAGAGCCAGAACCACTGTTTCCTGCCCTCCTTCATCTGTGCCCAGGACTCTGCAGGGGAGGGCAGTCTGCTGAGCAGCCAGACCCCAGGGACTGCCTCTGGACTGCCAAAGACCCAGGCCTGCTTGCCAGCTATGCTGGACACGTGGTCTTCCTCAGCCCTAGCTGCTGAAGGGCAGCTTCCTGGGGAAGAGCAGGGGCAAGAATCGCTGGTGCAGTGTGTGAAGGTAAGACACTACCCAATGCTTTGTGTGCAGGTGTTACTCTCCTGTGACATCATGAAGGCACTTGTCAACAGAGTGAGCACTTGATGAAATGTACCAAGGATTGTGCAGTCCTTACTCTGCCCTCACAACCCTTACCAGATCATAGCAATCTCATTTCACTGTAGGGGAAGAGCACAGAAGTCAGGGAACTTGCCCATGTAAAGTTGGTAAGGCCAGGACCTAGAGCCTTCTGTCTGAACCACTGCTCCTCCCTGGGTCCCAGCTTAGAGCAAAAGAGTGAGCTCAGTCATCAAGAGTGGCTGTCCGGGCTGCAGGACTTCTTAGGGCCCCCTTTGCCAAATCAATGTCCTGCACCTGGGCTCCCAGACCATTGAGTCTTCCCGACTCCCTCTTCTTGAGGTATAGGCACGAAAACAATGGAATGTGGCCAGTACCTGGATCCATGCTACCCATGTGGTAGACACGGGTGAAGCTCCAGGCTCCCAGCTTCACCCAAGCCATAATGTCTGTTTCTGAAGTGAACCGGTGAGTGGAAGAGCTTTCTCTGTGTCCCACTGTCATTCTTTCAGGAGAATGAAGTCTTTTAAAAAGGCAGATCTTATGAGGTGATGTTGTTGGGGTGTGGGTTCCAATGAGTTATCACTTGTTCTCCTCCCTCCCAACTCCCGAAAAGAATTAGTAGCAGCAGTGCTGGCCAGAGTTGGTGCCCAGGGCTGCTCACTGCCCCCTGCAGGCTGGGCTTGCGCGGCCTTACACCAACCTGAAGGGGATGGAGCCTAACAGGCATTTATTGCCCTGGAGGCTCTCTAAGGGAACATTCTGGAAAGGTACATGGTCCATCTTGTAGAATTCTCCCATTTTTTTTTAAAAGATTTATTTAAATTTACTTGAAAGTATAACAGAGAGATCTTCAATCCACTGGTTACCTCCACAACAGCCAAAGCTGGGAGCCTAGAGCTGCTTCTGGGTCTCCCACATGGTTATAGGGTCCCAGGGACTTGAGCCATCTTCCATTGCTTTCCCAGGCCATAAATAGGGAACTGGATCAGGAGTAGCCAAGACATGAGCTGGTACCTATATGAGATAACTATTGTATGTGGAGGATAGCCTGCTATGTCACCATGCTGGTCCTGAAATCTTCCTGTCTTAACCTTTTAAAAAGTCCAGTCACTAATGCCAGGTATTCTTTCATTTCTCTCCCTAGATATTTTGTACCCAGCTGGAAGAACTGATCCGCTGGCTATACAACGTGGCCGATGCTACGGACCCAGGGACTCCTCCTGGCTCCAGCCTCACGGCTCTCAAGTCTTCTCTGCAGCTGTACCGGGTAAGCCGCCCTGCTGGCTCAGGATGGCAGCCAGGCTGTTTTATGACAAAGAAACATCACAAGAAACTGATACTTTCCATGGTAAAGCTCATTTCAACGTTCAGCCCCGAGATCTAATCAGAGACTCTTTTCAAATCACTAACACTGAAAAATTGTGAAATAACATGAGTTATTTCCCACACCAAAACAAGTTTGGAGAAAATTCCGGGTTTTACCTGGTGTCACAAATACTGGGAGTGATGGGAAGTGCACTTAGTCCTGTCTTGGGAGGTGGGTGTGTAGTGGGCGCTGCTGCAGGTGCCCTGGTGCCCTCACATGTGTGCAGCTGCCACAGGGAATGGCGCACCCACTTCCCTGGCCTGTGCTGTTGTTCAAGGACCGAGATGAGGTGGTGCTGACTTCAGAGTATACACCAGGCATTCTGACAGGATTTAAACACAACTCCAATGTCAGTTTGCTTCGTATTGGTTTCAGTGTTGGTTTGGTATGGTTACTTTCTCCCCTGCTTTTCTTTTTTTTTTTTTTTTTTTTTTTTTTTTTTTTTTTTTATTATTTTGTTATTGGAAAGGCGGATATACAGAGAGGAGAGACAGAGAGGAAGATCTTCCATCCGATGATTCACTCCCCAAGTGAGCGCAACGGGTCGATACTACGCCGATCCGAAGCCAGGAGCCTCTTCCGGGTCTCCCACGTGGGTGCAGGGTCCCAAAGCTTTGGGCCGTCCTGGACTGCTTTCCCAGGCCACAAGCAGGGAGCTGGAAGGGAAGCGGGGCTGCCGGGATTAGAACCGGCGCCCATATGGGATCCCGGGCGTGCAAGGCGAGGACTTAACCACTGCGCCACCGCGCCGGGCCCTCTCCCCTGCTTTTCATTAAAGTTTTTTTTTTCTAATTTTGTATAATTTAAAATTTATTGACTAGAAAATTTTAAATTCGCCAAATTTACTGTAGAAGCAGAGAGACATAAAGATAAGCAAAGTGAAGCCCCAGCACGATAGGCTAGCGGCTAAAGTCCTCACCTTGCACGCGCCAGGAGCCCATATGGGCGCCGGTTCTAATCCCTGCAGCTCCACTTCCCATCCAGCTCCCTGCTTGTGGCTTGGGGAAGCAGTCGAGGACGGCCCAATGCTTTGGGATCCTGCGCATGCGTGGGAGACCCGGAAGAGGCTCCGGGCTCTTGGCTTCGAATTGGCTGAACTCTGCCCATTGCAGCCATTTGTGCAGTGAATCAACCGATGAAAGATCTTCCTCTCTCTCTTCCTCTCTATATATCTAATTTTACAATAAAATAAATAAATAAATCTTCAAAAAAAAAAGGCAGAGTGAGCACTCACCCAATAGTTTCTTCTCCAAATACCCACAGCCTCCAGGGCTGGGCCAGGCCTAGGAACTGGGAGCTCGGTACAGATTTCCTGCATGATGGGCTGCTATGCTTAAAGCATCCATCACCTACTGCCTGCCAGGGCACACACTAGTAGGGGACTGGAGTTGGGAGTGGAGCCAGCACTGAACCTGGGCACACCATTGTGGGATACATGCACATGCATCCCAACTGGCAGCTTACCTGCTATACCAGATGGCCACCCTGTAAGAGTTTTTATTATTATTATTATTTTCTTCTTGAAATATATTTATTCAAAAGGCAGACAAAGGGAAAAACAGATACTCTATCCACTGGTTCACTAATCTAAAAAGCTGCCAGTGGCCAGGGCCTGGGATCTTGCACTGGTACATTCGTTTGGAGCTGGATTACAAGCAGAGCAACTGGATTCAAACAGGCGCTCCTTCCAGTGTGAGACACTGGCGTCACAAGTAGGGACTTAAGTCACTGCACCACAGTGCCAGCCCCTTTTATTTTTTCTGTTTTTCAAAAATACTTATTTTAATTGGAAAGGCAGATACACAGAGAGGAGGAGAGACAGAGAGGAAGATCTTCCATCTACTGATTCATTCCCCAAGCGGTTGCAATGGCTGAAGCTGAGTCAATCCAGAGCCACGAGCCTCTTCCAGGTCTCCCACACAGGTCCAAGGTCCCAAGGCTTTGGGCAGTCCTCGACTGCTTTCCCAGGCTACAAGCAGGGAGCTGGATGGGAAGTGGAGCTACTGGGATTAGAACTAGCAAGACAGGCTATTCTGAAACCAGGAACTGCTGTGTCTCCCATGAGGGGGCAGGATCCCAAGCACTGGGGTCATCTTCTTATTGTTCTCCCAAGCACAATGGCAGAGAGCGGGATCAGCAGTGGACCAGCCAAGACTCAAACTGGGACCCATATGAGATGCCGGCACCTCATTCAATAGCTCTACATACTATGACATAACACCAACTCCTATTTTAATTTTTGAAATAGATTTACTTATTGAAAAATGTTACAACATAGAGATGAAAATAATATTCCACCTGAAAGAGAATAAAAAGATCTCCCACCTGCTGGTTTACTCCCCAAATAGTCACAATCTCATTCTAAGCCAGAATGAAGCCAGGCACCAAGGACCCTAACACTTAGGCCATCCTCTACTCCTTTTCCTGGGTCACTAGCAGGAAGCTGAATTGAAAATGTAGCTAGGACTTGAACCAGCATCCACATGTAATGCTGGCATTGTACACAGTAGCTTTACCCACTGTGCTACAGTGCCAGCCCCTACTTCTTTGTGGGCTGTACTTACCTTGATCCTAGGTCAAATGTATTTGGTGTGATTATTTGCCACAGTTTGTAGCAGTTGTTCTGGCATCATTAATAAATGAGTCCCTTTTCATTCTCAGAAGTGTTCTGAGCTGGAGGACACTTAGCTACTTGGCTTAGTTGGTGCTCCTAAGACCAGTGTTTACCTTGGCCAAACTGACTTCTGGCATTATCCAGCTGACCCAGGGTGGAGCTGGGCAGCTTTCACGGCCTGAGGCTGGTGCCATCTGCCTCAGTGCTCTGTTTCTCGGCTTCAACACAAGAGGGCGTGACCTGCTTACACAGGAGCCAGGGTTGTAACCAGGCCAAGCTAACTCCATCTCACTGGAACCACACCCCTGCTGCCAGAGGGAAGGCCTCTGTTTTCCAGCTTGAAGCCAGCTCAGATCAAGGGGAAGAACCTCACCCTGGCCTGGGCAGGCCTAGCCAGCTGCGCCCTCCTAGCAGGAATGCTGGTTCTTGTAGCATAGGCAGAAGGGGCCCTGCGATTTCCTATCCAGACTAAACTTGAGTGTGTACGAAGGGCATCCAAACTGTTCACGATCCATCCTCTTCAGGGAAAACTTCTGACGTCAAACCAGATGTACAAACCACCAGCTCTGTATACCATGGGTTAGAGAACTGCCCTGGAGCTGCTGGGTGGTTTGCTCGGAGAATTCTGTGGATCACTTAGCAGCAATGGAGTCTTAATGTTAGTGGGACTGAGCTGCCCTGCAGGGCATTTATCCTGGGGACCTTTCCCAAGACAATCCTAATAACAATGTTCCTTTTTTCTTCTCTGGTATGCTTTAAGCAATTTAAGAGAGAAATAGATGAACATCAGTCCTTGACGGAGAGCGTCTTACAGAGAGGGGAGATGCTTCTTCAGTGCCTGCTGGATAATGCCCCAGGTGAGATGCGCGAGCTTTCACTGTTTCCTTAAATATGGTGTTCATTCTTGACATGTAATAAATGCACACATCTGTAGGGTACTGTGTGGCCTTTTGGTCCCTGTGTGCAGTAAGTGGCCTATCCATCCCTCCGATAACATTCAAAATCCCCCTTGCCAGCTATTTTGAAATACTTCATTGTCTGCCCACTAGAAGCTGCTCTTGCTGTCCAGCTGAGCCTCTGGAGCAAATGACCACCCTCTTCCTTCTCCCCATACTCTCGCCAGCTCCTCCTGACCACTACTCTGCTCTCACACCAATGTTGTGTTTTTTTATGTGTGAGATAGAGGTCCCATCTGCTTATTTATCTCCCCAAATGCCCACAGTGACTGGGCCATGACTGGGCCAGGCCAAATCCAGGAGCTTCAAGTTCAGTCCAGCTTGTCCAACCTGCCTCCCCGGATGCACATCAGCAAGATGGAAAAAGGAGCCAGCTCAGACATTCTGAGAAAGAGCTTGCCCCCATAAGATCAACTTGCTTTAGCTTCAACATGTGAGAGTATACAGTCTTTGTTTTTCTGTAGATTCTTGAATTCTACCCCAGTTACTACAGATAACAGAATTTCATTCTATGGCTGAGTATTTTGTGTGCATATATCACATTTTCTTTATCCATTCACCTGTCAATGGATGCAACAGATTCTATATTATGGCTATTGTAATTCATGCTGCCTTAAACATGGGAGTGTGGGTTTCATTTTTATATAATTTCAAGATTTATTTTTTATGGGAAGATTTATAGAGAGGAGAGACAAGCATCTGCTAGTTCATTTCCCAGATAGCCATAACAGTCAGAGTTGAGCTTATCCGAAGCCAGGAGCCAGGAGCTTCTTCCAGGTCTCCCACATGGGTGCAGGATCCCAAGGCTTTTGGGCCGTCCTCAACTGCTTTCCCAGGCCACAAGCAGGGAGCTGGAAGGGCAGTGGAGCAGCCAGAACATGAACCAGCACCCATATGGGAATACTGGCGCTTGCAAATGGAGGATTTGAATAATTGTACCAACCCCTATATAATAATTTCATTTACTTAGGATATATTCTCAGTGATGGATTGCTGGATCATATGATTTCCAGTTTTTGGAAGAACCTTTCTCCTTGATGTCTGCACTAATTTACATTCCCACCAGTACTGTGTGTGTGCCTTTCTCCACACTGAACCATGTCAACATGATAATTTTTGTCTTTTTGATAATTTCATTATAAGTGGGGCAACATACCTCCTAGTGGTTTTGATTTGCATTTTTCCCTTATGACCAGTGATGGTGTGCGTTGATTCATGTATTTCTTTCTATAAGACATATTTTTCTTTTAAGAACTTTTAAAATATTAAATTTGTTTTATGTTTGATGTTTACATAGCTGAGAAGGATGTATGTTCAAGTGGACCACTGGTTAGGGTGGGGACAGTTGAGGCATGGGGAAAAGTGGATGAGACAATTGCGTCCAGTTTTTTTTCTCCTGTGTCTGGGGGAAGGAGGGAGAGGGGGAGAGGGCTGCTCCCAGCAGCCTAACCACATCAGTACGCTGGGATTGGGTACTGATGGGACAGGCACTCGATGTCATCCTCGGGTCTCTGATGTGAAGCATGTTCTGACGGTACTGCTTCAGTGGTTCTGAGATGCTGCCAATTTCACTTCATCGAAGGTTGAGGAAATCCCTCCAAGGTCAATTGGCTGTCACAGTCCACCCTAGAGTCTCCACTCACAACACATTCCTTTACTCATTTGTCCATTTTTATTGCATTGTTTGGGCTTTTGCTATTGAATTCTTTATACATTTCTAGGTATTAACCCTTCTTAGATGACTATTTGCAGATACCTTCCCCCTTTCTGTAGGCTGCCTCTTTGTTTCTTTGCTCTGCAAAAGCTTCTTAGGTTGATATAATCCCATCAGTCAGTGTTTGCTTTTAGTCAAAAATTCTTTTGTCAAAAATGTTTTGGCCATACCAAAATCTTAAGCATTTTCCCTGCGTTTTCTTCTCATAGTTTCATCATTTCAAGTTTTACCTTCAGGTCTTTGATCCATTTGGAATTGATTTTTGTATGTTTGAGGGACAGTAGTCTAGGTCCCCTCTGTGTGTCACTGTCCAGTTTCCCTAGCACAATTTATTGAAGAGACTTTTCTTTCTCTAGTGTTTTCTTGCTGCCTTTTAAAACCCAGCTAGCTAGAGCTGCAGAGTTATTTCTTATTTTCCATTCTATTCTGTTGGTTCATGTGTCTATGCTTAGGTGCTTGCCACCCATGTGGGAGACCTGCATTTACTTCCATTTCCAGTTTTGGCTTATCCCAATCCTGGCCATTGTAAACAGTTGGGGAGTGAGCCGGTCAATATATGCGTCTGCTTGTGGGTCTCTTTCTCACTTTATCAAATTTTAAAAAACCTTGAACTGATGGGAGTCCTAAAGCAGCCCTCATCTCCTGTAAAACTGTATAACCAAGTACTAGAAGACACTGTATTATGGCTGTTTTGGAGTCAAGTGGGTTTATGCTGGAAATCAAATAGTGTAAGGCAAAGCTGAGCCAAAAGGAGTCATCCTTGGAGCATCCATGAGGAGGTACCATTGAGTGGCACGCAGGTATATTCTGAGGAAGTCACTGTTGCCCTGCAGTTCTTTGTTGACTAGGAGGATTCCTACGCATTGTGGACGAAAAATCTTTCTCCCCTTCTCTCTGTAAATAACTCTTATTTAAAAGATAGGTTCCGTCTTAATTAAACCAAGTAAGAACCAGCAGCCGTTCTCTCTAGATCTCCTTCTTTTGTGAATCTTTCCAATAGAAATAAATAAAATCTTAAAACAGGGCTCATAAGGGATGCTAGCGTCACGGGGTGATTTACCCACTGTGCCACAGTGCCAGTCCCTGCCAAGCTCCTTTACTATTTTATGAAACAGTTACTGTGGGCCAAACACTGCTGAAACAATTGGCATACCTGTTTTTTCCCATTTAATCACAACCCTGTGAGGTGGAAACCATATTACTGTCATCTTTATTTTAGAAGTGTGAATTTACCATGCTGCAATCACAGTATCTAGAAGCACAAAGACCTCAGCAGAAAGGGGAATACTAGAAACCTCCTGTCCTCCTGGATGCCACATATGCCAAAGCTGGTCTACTAAAGCGCATGTATCTGTGTTGCTCCCGCTTCTTGGCTAATGCATCCTGAAGACAGGAAGAGGGTGTAAGTACTGGGTTCCTGCCGCCCACATGGGAAACCTGGACTGAGTGTTCCCAGCTCCTGCTTTTGGCCAGACCCAGCCCAGCCTTAGTCATTTAGATCAGATAGGCGTAAGCTCTCTCAAAATATATTCTTACAAAGGGAGGGTGTTTCTCTGACCTTCATTTAAAAATCAACCTAATTATATTTAGTGCTAAATCTGTTGTAAGAACATTCTGCTCGGCCCTTATCTCCTTTTACAGGTTAAGGCTTTAGGATTTTCTGTGGCTTTCAGATCTGTATCCAAGCACTCTTCAGATTGACACTGCCCCTCCCCATTCTGCACTTGCTGTTTGAAAGTCACACTTCAGTCTATTTCTTCCTGGACACATTACCCAGCTTCTGCATGGTCCCTTCTTACTCAGCTGCAAGGGTAACCTTGGGAACACAATGCCACTGTCTGCTCCCTCACCACTCATGCCTCAGACTCCCGCCAGAGATTTTCTCTGCATGGAAAATCCAGCATTTTTTAATATTCTGACCCAGTTACTTAAGCGTAAAATTCAGCAGTTGCATCCCACATCAAACTTCTTAGACTAGGTCATGTAACTCAACTCAAACCTGCTAGTGTTAAGCCAATCTAGATTTCTATATGTCACTATTACCTGAAAACACAAAAATTTCTTAGGAAAATATTTCTGTTTCATTCCCCCTCCCTACTTATCTTTTACTTGGCCCAATGATTTTAACAGTCTAAAGTAAACAGCAGGTTGCTGGTGCTGTGACATAGTAAGCTAAGCCTCTTTATGTGGTGCTGGTTTGTGTCCTGGTTGCTCTACTTCTGACCCAACTCCCTGGAAAGCAGTGGAGGATGGCCCAAAACTTGGGACCCTTTACCCACATGACAAGCTCCTGGCTTCGGACTGGTTCAGCTCTGGCTGTTGTGGCCATTTGGGGGAGTGAACCAGCAGAAGACCTCTGTCTCTCATCTGTTTTTCAAATAAAAATAAAATCTTAAATAAATAATAAAAGTTCCAGAAAAGAAAGCTGCCCTCAGTGCCACGCAGTCAGACGCACTAGTCTGATGAAGTTGGAGGGGGGTGCCTGCTGGTGCCACACAGCGCACGTGCTCTCAGCCCTAATGACATGGCACTGGTGTGGCTTCCCCAGGGGCTGATCTCAGCACAGCCAGCCTGCGCCCATCCCGCCAGCTTCCGCCCATCGTCAGCATTGTCTGCAGATGTACAGTTTCCCTTTGCCCTTCCTCTGCTGACAGATGCTACAGCTGCAGCAGGAAACTAGGGAGTATTAACATAGCTGATAAAGGTACAGGAAGCTAAGGCAGCCTATGTGCTTAACAAAAGAAAGAAATTTTAAGGGCAAGAAAACAAACTAGCCTAATGCGTGTGATGCATCCTGACCTGAGCCCATGCCCTCATCACCTTGACCAGTTCTGATTGGAGGTGTAGGTCTTACCCTCACTGGCAACCCTGACTTAAACTGTTCAGTCTTTCAAAGCTTATTTACCTAAGACCCACAAAAGGAGGAGTCACAACATCTCCAAAATGCATTACAAGAACACCTACACTGTGAAGCAGCAGTCCTTTGGCCACCAGACATTAAGACCTGTTAGAAGCAGGGTCCCTTCTCCAAGTTTGGCATGTTGGACCTGGCAGGATGTGGGTGTGCCCTGTGTCCCATCTCTGTAATCAGTTAATACCAGTCACCAGAAAATCATGGCTGGGTGGTCTTTCTGTGAGTTCTGTAATTCCAGAGTGGGGCCAATGAATTCTGTAGGCTTGAACTAGAAGTTAACCTGGAAGGCCCGGCAGAATTACATTTAGAAATAAGGAACATTTGGAATCCAGTGCCAGGCTCCAATTGTAGGCAAAAATGCTATATATACCCTTTTACATTGTTTAGAAATTATTTACTGGGCAACATCTTCCTGGGTTCTTTGGTCTAACTGCTTTGATCCTGTCAGTCTTAAAGGATGTCCTTGGGAGGATCGCGAAGCAGTCGGCTGAGCTGGAGAGCCATGCAGACCGCCTGTATGACTCTATCTTAACTTCTCTGGACCTGCTAGCTGGCTGCGCCCTCACCCCTGAGAACAAGCCGACAAGAGCCAAGGAGCGCCAGTGTGAAAGAGTTTAACCTGGTAAATAAAGGAGCCCAGGGAGAAAATCTCCTCCAACCCCAGTACTGATTAGGACGCAGAGCTGACTTCATGGTGAGACATGAGCTCCTGGAAGAAAGCAATGAAAAAGGAGTAGCTACCAATGCTGGAAGGCTGTGGATCTTCCCTAGATGGTAGCTCACTGTGGCGCTTTCCATTTATCCGTTCTACACCTGCTGCTTGCTACGGAGGGGGCACCAGCTCCCATTTCTGTGGCAGTCTCTTTATCATTACCTCGCCACCCAGACACAAGAAGCACAACTTGTCTACACCTAACTTCCATTTTGTACATGGACACCTCCATATGGGAGGTAACCAGGCCGCCAGTGTTCTGAAGGGTTTTGTTGCCTAACTCACTTGGTACTTCATCTCTGGGCATTTCTCATAGCCCTGGTACCTCCTGCACACCAGCAACACCATCACTCTCCACCAAGAGGTTTCTACAATTTCCCATACCCTGCCCTTCCATAAAGGGCCAGAGAACAGTGTAAAAGAATGACCGAAAGGAGCTATACGAGCTGGGAGGATTGGTACCCCCTTTGGGATTGCCATTACCTAGAGTACTTAAATTTCACACCTGCACTGCTCTGCAAAATATCTGTGATGCTTAACTCAAAATTTTCTAGGTGAGAATTCACTGTAGAGATGAGTCCCTTATTTACATCAAAGCAGGTGTCCTTGCCCTCAATTGAACACAGGTAATTGTTCCTTTCTTCCTTTGCAACATTCTGCCTATAACAAACTCATCTTTCTCTTTCAGACTACTTCTCAAACAGATGCAATTCTTCAGCCAAAAGTTGCTTTGCAAGAAGAAACCTTTCAAAATGTCCTTGAAAGACCCAAGTCCGGGGAAAGCAAGTCTAGCATACTAGCTTTAAAATGCCTTTCTCCCTCCGTGAAGCAGGGCTGTTAAGTTACTCCTTCTAAACACTAAAGTTTTCTGTTTGGTGCTTCTCTACAAAGAGCACATGACTTTGTAGTTTTTGATAAAATTGGACAGGGATTGCCCCCTCCTCTGTCCAGTTTAAAAACAGCAGGCAAAGCTCCTATGCTATTCCACTTGCAACTAGAAAGGAAGGTTCCAAAGAGATAGTACTTATCAGGCATAACAAAGGATCCAAGAGAATAAAAAATGAATGGTTAGCCAGAACTTAGGTCCCTCCCATAAAATGAGGCTTAGGTTTGTAAGTTTCTCTTTAAAAAATTTTAAATGAGACTTTTACTCTGCATATTAAAAGGGATCAATGAAGAGAATGCTATAGATTATAGGCAGTTATGCCTTTTGCCATCTTCAGGGCTATAGGCTTCACCTCACCTTCCTGCCTGTTATCTGAAGTTGGTCAGGGACTTGGAAAACTGCCCTTGTGCTTCAGTGTGGCCCTGGTGCCTCTGCAAGGAGTCGTCCCTCCACCCCTGCCTTCCCTCTGAAGAGCAGCTCAGGATCATAGAAAGAACAATGAAACTGCACACACCCCAGTTCACTAAAGAAACTAACATGCCAATAGGGGGGAAAAAAGGGAATTCTTCCAGGGAATTCTTTGTTGCTTGGGAATTCGCATTGTCAAGTATGTTCAGGAGAGAGGGAAAAAAGCTGTGGATCAACCATTTTACGCACCAATTTCCCTAGCTTTCTAAAGCAAATGATCAGTTTTTGCTGAAACTAAAACTCCATATAGTAGTACCTGAAAATATTCTTCTTAGGCCATAAATGGATATTGCCAGGAAGAAAGCATAGAACACTTCCTACAGAAGCTAAAGTCCTATTAAATGTGGTTTTCTGCTTCAAAACATCTGACTTTATGACGATGAAAAGCTGCTATTTTAATACTGGTAGGTTAGTTGTTCAGGAGTAGCTACAGAGAAAAATATGCAGTCTTTCAAGTGCCTGTGCTACTATGGGATGATTTATACCATAATGCTAGAGGCCTAATCAGAATGAAACCACCTTAGGATCCCACCAGCTCCATCTTAATGTTGGTCCCATACACAGTGAGATCTTATAAGATGACATCTTGCTAGCAAATTATTACCCTATAATCAGGTTTTTAAGAGGTTATGTCTAATAACAAGTTTTTAAAATAGATACTTTTCAATTTTTATAAAACTAGAACATGCCTTTCCAAAGTATGTTCACAAGAAAATCTTTAAAATTAAATGCACTTACATACTGGTATTTGACAGTCATGAAAAATCTTAAGTCTATACCATAGAAACAGACTGGTCATTATACCAACAGAATGTACAATGTGGCATTCTATTCTCATTCAACTGACAGGAATTTTCACAAAATCTGTTACCTTTCCCAGAGGTAATCCCAAGATATTTTTGTACATCCTGTGTGAAATAATGTGTGACTGACTACAGGGTGCTAACTGTGAATCTGGCTATCAATGCCGCTGACGACTATCAGCACCAGTGTTATGTAATTGTATCTTCAGCCTGCTTTAAAAAGTTTAAGACTTCCCCTTAAAAGGCTGAAGTTGTTTCAACTGAGCAGGATGTTGCCAGCAGCATTTCCCTGTGCAAACATAGCCTGCCTAGCTGGTGCATTTATTGTACCAACCTAGAATAAATACTTAATTGTCCTATTAAATTTATGGAGGTCAGGTCAACAGGGAAGTGGTAATAGAAAAAGCCGAGTCTGCCTTGCAATTACAATTCCAAACCAACCCTGCTGGTTGCAGATACATGGCTAACCTCATCAGCAAGTCAAGGACGTTATCGACATGTGGGTGTCTTTAAGGCATAAATGGTAACATCAGGAAGGGTTAATCTGTAATAATTGGAATAGAATAGCAAGATGTACGCTAGGAGCAATTTCAGTCCCAGGTTAGAAAATGGGAAGTGACTGCTCAAACCATACTGGCTGTAAGGATTTCCAAGAGCTTGTGACCACCTGAATTTAAAACATTCTTCACTATAAGCGAACTTAAGGCATCCACTTTTAAAACATAACAAGTAAAAATTACTTTTAGTAAGTGGACTACTAAAGTCATTTCTTGAAATGTTTGTACTTGAAAATGGAGGTAGCAATGGGAACTGTTTTTCAGTACTTCACTTATTGGCATATGCATAAAAGTGGATAATGAAGCATGCTGAGCTCAGAATTCTAAGTCCTAAGCTTGACTGCCACAGGAGAAAACAGAACTAGAACTTCCTCAACTGTCTGTAAATATGTTCACATCTTAAATTCACGTATGTGTTCTGCTAACTCACTAAGAATAAGCTGATGGTTTGAATAACTTTTGCTGTATAACGCACTACGTGGTGTAACATTTCCCATTTAGCTACATTGTTTCTGATCTCCCCGTTTATTGGTTAAGGCATAAAACCAAACCTTCTAAAGCGTTAAAGTTTCACCAAGTAATATTGGTAATGTCTGTTGCCTTATGCAGAGATGAAGAGATCCAATAAGCACGTCTAAATACAAAGTAAACTATGATTTTATTGTGAAATTCTCATAGATGGAAAATTAAATTGAATATTTATTCTGTTCATTTCGTTTTACAATAATCTTACCACTTATTTTTGTACCATGTATTTCAATTGCCTGTTTAGTGAAAAATAAAGAAACTTATAATTTTTGGCTTGTTTTAGCTTAAATTTTATCATTTAAGACCCCACAATAAAATGTTGCCGACAGCCACATCCCAAATCCCTATGTGAATGTTTTGGTTGCTACTTCAACTTAAGGAAACAATTTCCACCTCTGCCGCCTTAAAATGCCAGTGTCAGCAATAGATACTTTGCTTCCCACAATAAACACAAACTCTAGGATCTTGAAGGTACTATTTAACAAAATCTCCACATGTGCAAAAGTTCATTCAAATAAATAATTTTTCTTATCATTCCCAACCAGCATTCATGTTTTCAGTTAATCTTCAGAGATATAATTTCTAAAATTAGGCAAACAAATTTCTTGTTTTCTCTTTAAATGCTTAAACTCTCCTCCAACATGAGCTATGTGGGCATGATAAAATAGTTGAAATGACTCACAGCAGAGAACAAGGTTAGCGCACACCTTATTCTGATACTTGCTGGTTAGGAAAACTATGCAGCTTTCCACCTGTATCACAGGTCAATTAAATGTTGATTACTGAAGCCATTCATATGGCTTTAGAGAAAGATCAGAAATAATGGGCAAGATAACATACACTCTAAAAACTTATTTTCCATATAGTTTGAGCTCCCTGAATCACTAAAGTTGGTTAAATCCTACACAGCACAGAAGCCTCCCTAGGTCATTTGTCAGAGTATCTAGAAAGCAAATACTGGTTGCTGCTCTAAATTAAGTAGGTCTACAATGCCCTGGTTGCACACACAAATGGCTGATTGAGTATAATGCAAGGCTCTAGTTCCCTTTAACCATAAGAATTAAAACAATACTTATCACCATACAGTTTGATATTACTCCAATAAGTACAATATTTATTAAACATATTTTCAGTTGTTTGTTACATAGTGTGCAACAAATTACAATATCCTGCAGCCACAAATTATATGCAGAGTATGAAGAAACTATTAATCAGATAGTGTAATCTTTCCATTTATAACTCTACAAGGAAGAACTAGCAAATCAGATCTTACATAGAACATTTCACTAAACTTTATGCATGGAAAGTGACAGACACCAGTTGTGCTGTTTGATACAAAATGGCTGAACTTCATCTTCAGAAGACTAAACCCGACATCTAAACATGCCAATATAAACATCAAAACAAAATATATTCTAACCAACCACGGGAAACAGTCTGGTATCAGGAAAGCAACAAGGATTACACACATTATTTTATAAACCAGCACACAAAGGTTTAAAACAGTTCTGAAAATGAAGTTAGCTGTCTTGAGTCAAGGGAATAAAAAAAAAGTCAGTATTGACCATTTACAATCTCTGACCTTTGTGGAGACGGTAAGAATCTGTTGTAGTGCAGCTACATACAGTACAATTCAGGCAATTTTGTTTTTTCACTTGGGTTTCAGATTGCAAATTCATTGCTGTGAGAAAAGGACGGAGGCAAATTTTAGCAGCAACCTCCACCTGACTGCTTGACTGGAGTGCTCTGAATTTTAACATTGGACTTCTCTGCGCCACCTGCTGTTGCTCCAGGGCCCATTCGCTTTTTAATCTCAGCTGCCATCGTCATGAAAGACTGTTCTACATTCGTTGCGTTCTTAGCACTGGTTTCCAAAAATGGAATTCCAAGGGAATCAGCAAATTCCTAAGAATAATAAGGCACACATTAGCATTGGAAAATCTTTTTCATTTAATAAACATTCCTACCATCTGAAAAAAGAGTAAAAGGAAGACCAAGTTCACTGAATAGACACTATGTGAACTGTCAGTATTCTAGTGCACATGTTTTCAAAAGCTAAGGTAGAGTTTCAAAATCAGCTTGAAAGCTGAACTTTAAACATACCTTTGCTGTTGTGTAGTCTACTACTTTCTTTGTGGTCAGATCACATTTGTTCCCTACCAACAACTTGTTGACATTTTCACTGGCATAACGATCTATTTCCTGCAGCCACTGTTTAACATTATTGAAGGACTCCTGAAAAGATAATGATGATTTAGTTCTGGACACATTTGTTCTAGTAAAGTAAGTGATGAACAGGAACATCCTCCCTGAGAGAAAAGATCTGGTGAGACAGTGCTAGCCACAAAAAAATACACTATATATCAATAACTGACAAGATCAAATTTGAAGACTTAATGATAAAAACACCTTGAAATAAAAGAAAAAAAAAGAAAAGAAAACACCTTGAGAGGAAAACAACTTACACATTTAAATCACAACTCTGACAAGCCCAATTACTTTCGAGTATTCACAATGCAAGTGTATTATAAAACATGTCACAAATAGGACAGCTAGCCTGTGTATTCTGGAGATGTTAAACATACTAGCCAATAAACTAAGTTTTCATTTTAAAAATATTTTCAGGTATTACAAGTTTTTGAAATTGATCTCTTTTTCTAATGGACACCACCCACCCAGT